ATGTGAAAAACAAATGGATTAAAAGGGAACTTAAAATCCCAAGATATGAATATAAGGGAGTTCGAATTTTTTCTGTTAATTATGAAAATTCTGCAGATGCTCATAATTATCAATTTATTAATTGTGTATTAGAAATTAAGTATATGCCAAAGTACATCAGTTAGAATAACTGGAAAACAAAATAATTATTTAAATGTTTCTAATATTAAAATATGGAATTTGTAAGAAAGTTAAATAACTTTAAAATAATTCAATGATTGAAAATAGAAAGCTTAATAAAGCATATATTGCAATAATATTAGTGTGAATTTAGAACTACTTAAGAAATCCAATTTAAGTTAAGATTTAAGCTAAATGCACTAAAAAATGTTGACGAGGAAAAATTTACCAAAAATTGCTTTCCATATGCTAAAAATAGATTTTGTTAATGATACTCATAGACCCAAAGATTACATTTAGGGCTATTTTGAATTAAGAATAACAGATTTGTTATTAACATAAACCCAGAACCAGCGCCACGGCTCGTATGGCCACACCAAGTCGCAGAATTTAGGACCCATACAGACTGTATCAGGCAGTAATATATCTAGCGCCGGCCCTCAATAAGGCTTAAGTATATGTGGGAATTTATTTATTCAGAACTAAGCCTTAAGCATGTGCAAGAAATAAGACATAAGTATAATAAATAACTAATACAATTCAGGCTTAATTGTCTCAATGCGCGATAGAAGCAAAATGAAATTTAACAGAACAACTTGTCATTAGTCGCCAAGCTCATGATGCATAGTCAAATATGTATAGTGAAGGATAGCTAAATTTGATGATGATAGCTGCTAATTTTAAAGGTTTTCGGATATCGCAAAACAAAGCTGAAATTTTCCAATTAACAGATTTTGTAAAGAAATGTGGAGAAGCAGTAATAAATTAAGATGATATAAAAGAAGTTTTTCATTGTGATGGCAATGCTTCTCAATCATCAATCAATTAATGAATGGCAAAATCTGTAGTATGGTTCTAGATGCAGAAAATACTGCTGCTACCGATATTGAAGAAAGTGACAGAGAAGTTGCTGAAAACGAGAAAATTTCGATTGAACGAGAAAAAATTCGATTTTACATAACGTTGCTGCTACATTGTGAAACAATTGACCATAGAAGGGGTTAAAAAGTTATATTACTGTAATCATGACTGCTTAGTTTTTATTTCTGTTATTTATACTTTTTTTCAAAATAAATTTTAATTTAGTAAGAAAGCAGTGTAACACCATGAAAATATTTTATCATAAATTGTCACTTATCCCTTAACATTTGTTTTATAGTATTCAATTTTACTTTAAGATATGAAATCTAAGTCAATCATCTTTCTTTTTCTAATTAGCATTTTCTAAAAGCATACTTTTAGAAGTTCTCGAAACAGCAGTTACTTGAACAATGTAACTGAACAAGAGATTATGTCTGTCTACAGAGTTAATGAGAAAGTATTAGCACAAAAACGAAGCAACTTAAACAACTTACATTGAAAGAAATGTTTAATAAAGTAAACAAATAAATATTAAGCTTTTTTTTTTTTTTTTGTAAATTTTGATGCCCTTTAGATCATAAATATGCACGACATAACACTCACAACATCTTATTTTCATTTGATGTAACAACGTGATCAATATAGGTTGTAATATATCTTTCTGTTCAGGAAGAACAAAACCGTTAAACAATTTTATTATTTGGTACACCTCAAAGCTCTTATTTTGATTTTCAACCCCTTTGCCCTCCTAGGGGCTAGTTTTCAACTTTTGGATCCTTTAGATTCATTATTTCATAAATCCTAATTTAATATTTTTAATTTTATATTTCCTACATCCATCTTATTAGATTTAAACTGATGATCTAATATCTGGAAAAATCCTAAATCCGGAATAGTCGAGGTTCCGACGAGTCAGGATTTCGGACTTTGTATTTTAGTTAAGTAAATTAGTATATACTGTAGTTAAGTAAAAGATTATTGATATGATTTTAAAACTGGTATATAATATATACCAGTGCCCACACTAAGGATACTAGGCCAATAGATGACAGCACCAGTCTTCTCCTTTTCTACTCTGTGAGATAACATAATTTCTTTATATTATAACAGTTTATGATGTAATAATTTTTTACGATTAATTTATAAGGTCTTTAGAGTTCAACATTATGTTCATGGAGGGATGGGGAGTTTACTGACCCTGCGCTAGGGCTGAATACAAGTATATTAGATTTTTATTTTTTGTTTACTCCATTCGAGTTTCATTCATCTCTGTTTAGCTAAAATTTTAATTTCAGCACTTCACCCTTCCCAAGAGAAAAAGACTCGTCATTTCAAATTGTGTCTGGGGTCAAAACTTTACACAGTTGTAGGATTTAATTCGGCATGTTAGCCTCAAAAAGACACCGCTGCTTCTGTTTTCGAAAATCCTAGAATGCAGGAAATGAAAGAGGTGATTGATAACTACTTTCTCATTCATGTCTTCTTCCCTTTGTATGATAAGATCACACAAGGGAAAGCTCACTTAAAAATACGGAAATGGAAATGCATTTAGGTCATCTCTTAGGTAATCATAAAAACTGCCGAGTTGAAAGCATGCTTTTATTCTTTACAGTATCGTTTTTGTTATTAATGAAAGACTACGGAATGCAAGAGAAATTTATCCTCTGGGTAGGATACAAATAGGTCGTTTTGAAAAAATTTTCACAGTTGGTGAAAGGAGGAGGCAAAATATTCTAAGCCTGTTTAGATGCAAACCAAAATTTATCCAAAAGTTGAAAACTAGCCCCTAGGAGGGCAAAGGGGTTGAAAATCAAAATAAGAGCTTTGAGGTGTACCAAATAATAAAATTGTTTAACGGTGTTTCTTCCTGAACAGAAAGATATATTACAACCTATATTGATCACGTTGTTACATCAAATGAAAATAAGATGTTGTGAGTGTTATGTCGTGCATATTTATAAGTGGCACTACACTGTGTTGCTGGGCGACAGATTCATCATCAATGAACTAATACATAAGTATCCCTTTTTTTTTTTTTTTTTTAAATTGTATCATATATCAGTTCTCATTTGCTCAAGTTATTTCTGTAATGAATTCTGCTGTTTTAATCATTTACAGTGAGTTTCATTCTTGATATTCACCTTCCACAAAAAGAAAAAAGTGTAATGTCTTAAAATGCCTTGGTATTGAATCATCCACAACTTGAGAATAACAATCCACTCAATAAGATTTTGATCTTGCTGCAAAGTGACGCTGTGATATAAATGAGACCGCAAAAGTGTTTAATCATAATCAAGTAAACTTTTTTTTTTGTCTAAGGAAATAATAAAGGAAATGTTTGATAATAATTGGGAGCTTTGCTGCTACATTGTGAAACAATTGACCATAGAAGGGGTTTAAAAAGTTATATTACTGTAATCATGACTGCTTAGTTTTTATTTCTGTTATTTATACTTTTTTTCAAAATAAATTTTAATTTAGTAAGAAAGCAGTGCAACACCATGAAAATATTTTATCATAAATTGTCACTTATCCCTTAACATTTGTTTTATAGTATTCAATTTTACTTTAAGATATGAAATCTAAGTCAATCATCTTTCTTTTTCTAATTAGCATTTTCTAAAAGCATACTTTTAACATATATATGTACACTGTGTCCCCCCCCCTAAAAAAAGGGGGAGGGGAGACAGCTCTATATTTCTCGTTCTACTGGACTGATTGACGAAATTTAACTTCCAATTTTATGTCTCGAAAGCGTGACTTAAGATATATATTAGATTTCTATATAGCATTATTCTAATATAGGTATTTTGATTTTGACCTAAAATTGGACTTTTTCTGAAATGTCATGCCAATTTTTTTCCATATTTCGATTCTATGACTTAAATTATTCCTAAATACTAAACTTTGTAGAATTTGGTGCGAAATTTATGGAGAAATTCAAAAATTTATTTTTCGCATTTTATTTTCCAGTTTGCGCCAAGAATAATGCACTTCGCGAACTTTTTAATTTATAGCAACCTATTTTCTTTCTTTCTTTCTTTCTTTTTTTTTTTTTTTCCCTCATTGCAAATGAGCAGAAAAAGAGTCATTGTTCATACTTTCAAATAATTTTAACAAGGTGTGTAAGCCACATTTGGTGTTATTATCCTTTATAACAAATATGCCAAATTTTAAAACGCCCCAATATGTAAATTCATGTATATCTTAGATAAATTTTGAATAAAAAACTCTTAATTTTTTGCAGGTGTGTCTAGAAATACATCTACTTTAAGATGATGTTAAAAAACTGTATAGGTCATAATTCAAAATTTGTTTGAAAAATTTTTTAAAATTATTTAAGAATACAAATTAAAAAAATCATAAAAAATGGGTGAATTTTATTTGGAATGAACCTAAATTTGAAATGTGAAAGGAAGAATAAAGTAGGTTTAGTAAAAAAAGAGATATTAACAAATATATAACAAATTCAACTAAAATTGAGGTGCTAAAATTTTCAGGGCCAATTTTTTAAACACTACTCCTGCAATTTTTAGAGAACTCGTCGATTTGGCGTAATTTGAGTCGTAGAATTGAAATATGTAAAAAAACTGTCATGTCATGTCAGAAAAAGCCTGATTTTATGTCAAATTAAAACAATGCTGTATATAAATCTAATACATATCCTAAGTCGTGCTTTCGAGACATGAAAAACACAATTTGAATTTTGTCAATCAGTAGAACAGGAGATATAGAACTGTCCCACTTTTTTTCCGCAGTGTATAAGAAGCTATTATTCAAACCATTTTTAGCCCCCTTAAAAAATTAGTCGTTTTATGTGTGAGACTGTTTTATATTTGGGCCAGTGTTGTATATTTATTTATGTTTATATTTTCTTTAGTGTTGAAACTGAAAATATTCTGTAATACAAGTATTTGTAATGGTGTTATTTTTCGAAGTTATGTAAAATTGATTTTTTTTTTTCCTTTAAAAAATATTAGTGTTGTATCTTATCAAAAGGAACAAGATTCTAAACCTCATTATTCATGGCATCATCATTCAGCAGGAGTTACTGATATTTATGTAGGACTTCTAGGAGCGCATGCTCGTGTTGCTACAGTATCCCATGATATGACTTGTAAAGTAAGTTTGTTGTAGTCTATTGACACTTGTTAATGACAGCTATCAGTTGGGTTATGTTTAAAACAAAATATTAAGGCAGCTTTTGTTTTTATTATAGATCTGTAATCTGGTTTAATTTTCTTTAGGTATTGTGTTTAAATTTTAATTAAAAACTGAAATGTGTGTTATTCTTTCAGCTTTATGAATTAGCAACTGGAAATATCCTGTGTTCAGTATGTATGGATCTACCCTTGACATCTGTTGCCATGGACCATTTTGAAAATTTCCTATTGTTAGGCGCACAGAATGGAAAAATATATAAAGTCAACATATTTTCTCAGGTAAATTTTATATTTACAGGAAAAAATAAATCCCTTTATTTTATGCAAATAATTTAGAGGGGGGGTGGTGCAAATAATTAATCCCTTTATTTTATGTGCATTTAAATAAAATATGTTTAAAGAATAAGAGAATTTTTATAACAATTGGGATTATTAAATTATTAAAAAATTAATCACTATATTCTATTATTGGATCAGTAAAGTATAAATTACAAAGAAATGTAATAATTGTAGATATGCAAATAGCAAAAAGTAGATATGCAAATATATAACATTGAGAGAGGGGAGTTGTATATAGAATATTATAAAATTTGGCATAACCTTTTTATTAAGTGGTACAAATTGTCCGAACTTCTCATTATTAGTGACTAATAATGGAAAAAATACAGGTTGCTGTGTTTTACCTTATTTACAGCCACTTTCACATTTTTGTCAGCAAATCATTGTCCTTATGACAGGAGTTCCCAATAAAGGAAGAAATTCCCACTAAGGGAAGTTTCATAGTTTTGGAGAGGGATGCGATCAGCTTTTCATTTACCTGCTAAGTATTCAGATTCAGTTTATGAATATGAAAAACTGCTTTTATTTAAGTTTTGATATTTATGAATATTTTCTATCTTTTTTCATATTTAATTTATGAAACACATAAAAAATAATCTATATTTAAATAAATGTACACCTTGCGCCAAAAGAAAAGGGGCCACAGTTTTATATCTCCCATTCTATAGATGGATGTGATGACGAAAGTGGAAATGCCCGAAGCTACTCCAAGAACAAAGTATTTTATCATACTTTTCCTTTTAGAAATCTCTCTTATATTTCCTTAAATATCTTAAATTTTTAACTATTTGTATAGTGAATTCTGAAGATCATTCATAAAATGTCAAAATGCTACTTTTGTATTTCATATAATGTACACCTTGAACAAAAAAAAGGAGGGATAGTTCTATACCTCCCATTCTACTGGTCTGATTGCATTTTCCATGTCTTAAAAGTGCGACCAAGGCTATGTATTAGATTTATATATAGCATTGTTCTAGCATAGGTATTTTGATGCAAAATCAGACTTTTTTTAATAACATATCAATTTTTTCTCATATTTCAATTCTATAACTCAAATTATGCCAAAGAGCCAAGTTTTTTAAAAATTGCATGAGTAGTGTTTAAAAAATTAGCCCTCTAAATTTTAGCTCCTCCATGTTAATTGAATTTGGTGTATATTTGGTAATATCTCTTTTTATTAAACTTATTTGATTCTTTCTTTCACATTTTGAAATTTAGGTTCACTCCAAATAAAATTTGCTCATTTTTTGTGATTTATTTTTAGAATTTGTATTTTTAAATAATTTTTATAAATTTTTCAAAAAAAGGTTTGAATTATAATCTACAAAATTTTTACCATCATATTAAAGTAGATGTATTTCTAAGTACACCTGAAAAAAACTTGAGTTTTTTATTCAAAATTTCGTAAGATATATGCATGAATTTATATTTTGGTGGTTTGTTACAAGTGATGTAGGGAAATGGAGAAAAGTTGCCAGAAATTAAGAAGTTCGCCAAGTGAATTATTCTTGGTGCAAACTGAAAAAAATGTGCCAAGATAAATTTTTTAATTTCTCCATAAATGTCTCACCAAAAATTACAAAATTTAATATCTAGGCATAATTTGAATCTAAATATGGAAAAAAATTGGCATGTTATTTCAGGAAAAGTCTGATTTTTTGTGTCAAAATTCCTATGTTAGAATAATGCTATGTATAAATCTATTATGTAACCTAAATCGCACTTTCGAGACATGGAAAATGCAAGTTAAATTTTGACAATCGGTCTAGTAGAACGGGAGATATAAAACTGTCCCACTTTTTGTTTTGGTGTAAGGTGTACATATATTTTTTAAGTTTTGGAAACGAGGAGGGAATGATTATCTATCAATGGTGTAAAAGGTGCATAGCCCAAAAAAGGTTGAGAACCCTATAGACAGCTCTTCACTGAACCAAAGAAGTAAAAGTTCGAAGGACAAAAGTCAGGTCTTTATAATGGGTGAGAGATCACTGTCCACCACAGTTTGCTGACTGTATGAGTTGTTGCCAGAGATAGCTATAGATTGCATTCAGGTTTCTATTGGTTTTTTTTTCTTCCTAATGTCTTTTTGAAGGTTTTGGAGTGTTTGGATGTATTGCTTGCTGGTTATGGTACAATCCTGTCCCAAAAAACTGAGGAGAATGGTGTTCTTATTATCTCAAAAGCATCTTCAGAAACTTCACTATTAATTTCTGACTCTTGAACATTTTAGGTCTTGCAGAAGAGGAATAACTGGACTGATTCTTCATCTCTGGGTCATAAAAGGTGCATCACATTTTGACCTGTTTCATAAAACTGGGGGGGGTTGAATTAATATATATAAATATGATGATGGGACCGATTGTATTTTATATCACTTCCAATATTTATTTTTAGTGAATAAAATTATCACTAAACATTCAAAAAGATAAATGAGCCCCTCCTTCTAATACAATGGTTCTCCACCTTTTTTACCTTATGCACACCTTTCACCATTGTTAGAAGGTCATCTCTCCCTCTCTTTAAAAACTTGTAAATATATACATTTTGTTTAGATTTAGATTATTTTCTAACATGCTATATAAGTTCTTTCGAGATGCTCTGCCAGGAAAATTCGCTTCGGTTTCTGGGGATGGGTGACTCCTACAGTCTCTGCAATATTTATTTAGAGTGCCAAAATGCACAATCTGCGTATTTATTCCAGAAGTCAATACCCATTTCACACCTAAACAAATAGGCCATTTTCTGTGTATGAGGTTGAGCAAAAATTATTAATCTTTTGCTTGAACTTATTAATCTTTTGCTGTCGGCAATTTTTATTTTAATACTTCCGACTGATCATTTGTAAATAAAATATAATTTGTGGTTCATATAAAAAGGAAAGTATATAAAACAAAATTTCAGAATTTTAGATTGTATTTTATTAGATGTAATTGCTCATGGTCAATTACAGCGAAATTTATGTCTACAAAATAAAATAAATATTTGCCCATTCACTTATTTTTTTAATTGAAAACTGTATTTTACTGGGTAGTTGAATAACAGATGATTTAATTGTTTTTTGATTAAAGAAAATTCAGAAATAAATATATTTAAAATAAATATTTTGATTCCGATACTCTTTAATTTTTTATGTTTTTTCTATAATATCAAAAACCTAAATTTATTCTGATCAGTAGTTATATCTATGTTGTATTTAGGTATTAGTAAACAATGGTCATAATATTCAGTTAGTGAAGGATACTATAATACTTCATAACATGCATAGGCATTAAAATTGCCATAGTTAGATTATTGCTCCATCTCAGCACTTTCGATATGATGAAAAATATGGCACGATGTCTCTGCGAACACTGGAGTTACTGCCTGGATAGCTTTTCAACTGGCTCAACATAGAAACGGACTCACCGATTCATTTCATCTACATTTCTGTTTGGTCAAAGTGAGCGTTTGCATTGTCAAAGTATTCGTATCGAAGGTATTCACTGCGGGTTGCTCGGACAGGTGTAAACTTCCCTTAACTAATTTATGTTTCATTGAAAGACATTCCCTTCACTTAATTAACTCTGCCACAAAATTTCACAATTTTCTTGTGACTGGTTTCGCCTATAGGCAGTTTAGAAATAAGGATTTTTGATTGTGGACATCTTGTATTTTAACTGGATTAAAATATAATAAGTTATGGAGTACGTATAATGAAGACTTCACTGACATGTTAAAACACTTTCCTGATGTAATTTTTAAAACAGAAAATACTTTAAAGCAGTATCCAATTTCAACACTTTTTATTTCATTTTACGAATTATACTTTTGTAAGAAATTATTTAATAATAATAATAGTAATAAATTTAGAAAAGCGCATTAATGGGTATATGTTTTCTTCTCTAACAACATTTAATTTATGAATTTGCCTTTTTTATATGAGGAGATGTGATAATTCAAAAGCCTCAGAGAAAAGTGATTCATAATTTTTAAATGAAAGAAGCATATTAATTATGTTCAGATTCATAATTGCACACGAGAGCAGTATGTAATAACAATAACTTTAAAAATGAAATTTATCCTACTTTTTTAAAATTGTCTTATTCTCTCTCCTATGAAATCATTTTATGTTTTAAAAAATTATAAATGAAAAAAAATGGGCTCAGGCTATATAGAAAGTGTATCATATTTCTTGTTATTAATTCATTAACATGCATATAAACACCTTTTATTTCACTGAAAATATATAACAGATATTTGCCGTGGCTTGTAAAATGATGTGCTGATGTTTAAGCTCTTATTATTTCAAGTATTTAGGGGTTTATGCAATAAAATATTGTACATATTAATTATATTTAATTGCAGTATTTATATTAGTTTTCCAGAAATCTATAAAATTATTTGGTAATTTTTAGTTTTTAAAATTTTCTTTTGAATGTAAATATGATATAAATGAAAAATGCCTACAGATTGCATTTATCGGTTTGCCTCCATATCTCATATGATGAGTTCTTTTGCAGTTGCCTAAAGAACTTCATTACAGCCAAGTATCAAGAAAAAATGCATTTGTAGGGCATCAGTAAGTAATTCAGTACATTTTATCAATTTTTATTTTGAAGTGCATTTTATCAATTTTTATTTTGAAGCAATACAATTTTTAATATTGCATTGCCCAAATATTTTTTAATTTCATGACTTACAATGGTGGCCAAAATTGTGGACACTTTTTGAAATTTTTATGTTTTTGAACTTTGTATGCTTATAGAAAATGTTGCGTTTCACAAAATGCAAACTAGTATATATCATTTTAAAGAGAATTTATTACTGAATTCAATACAAAACACAAAATTCAGTTATTTACAGTACAAAAAAAGTTAAACGATAATAGTTATCGATATACATTAGATAGTGATGATTGCAGTGAGTTATCAGTACTTAGTAGGGTACCCTTTATTTTTGATTACAGCTTCACATCGACGTTTCATTGAGCTGACAAGAGTTTTAAGCTCTTCTTTCGTTATTACATGATGCCAGGAAACAATTATAGCCTCAATTAGTTCCCTTTTATTTGATGGGCGCCTCATTCGGACAAGAGTTTTCAAATGGTGCCACAAATTTTCGATAGGATTGAGGTCAAAACTGTTTCCTAGCCATGACAACAATTTAATGCTCTTTGTACGAAACCGCTCTTTTGATATTTTGGCTGTGTGGCAAGGAGCAGAATCCTGCTGAAAAATAAACGAAGCATTGTTGGGAAAGAGATCTCTAATGGAAGGTAGAAGTTTTGGTTCTAGAATAGTGTCAATGTATTTTCTGGCATTCAGTGTCCCATCGATGACATGAAGGTGACCAATACCATCTGCTGACATGCATGACCAAATCATAACACTAACTGGGTTCTTCACAGTTGCTTGAATGCAGTCAGGATGTAGCTCTTCTCCTATTCTACGTCTTACATATTTTCGCCCATCACTGCTGAATAACGATATTTTAGTTTCATCACTCCATATAACTTATGACCACTGATCATCTGTCCAATTAATGTGTTCCTTTGCCCTCTGCAGTCTTTCTTTCGTTCCTGAAAATTAAGATAAGGCTTTTTTCGGGAAATTCTACCTCTCAGTCCAACATTGTTAATATTCTCGTGATTGTTCTTGAACTGACCAAACACCAGCATCATTCAGATCACTTCTGATGGCCGCTGATGACATTTTCTATCTTGGAGACATAGTCTTTTTATTTTTCTGTCATCAATCGTGTGGTGCACCTTTTTTGCCTTTTTCCTTCTTTGTTTTTATTGAATTTGTCTCTGATATCGAAACAAAACTTTCGAACTCCAGATGTAGTCACTGAACTACCCATCTGTCTTGCAATTTCAGCATAGGAAAGACCACTTTCTCGTAACAAAATAAATATTACATCTCTTTCTAGTTGTCCAATCTACACTTTTATTTGATGTCATTGCTTCTTGACTAAATATTAAAAATTTTTACAAAAATTCCTACTTGTAATTGCAGTGTATAAGAAACAAGTCCTCCTTCTACAGAACAAAGCAAAATAATGAATTGTTTCAAGTGTAAACATGATGTCAGCTTCTACTGACAGTTACTAACATTTGATTGGTTCTTGAATTACAAATAATTGAATTTTGTGTTTTGTATTGAATTCAGTAATAAATTCTCATTAAAATGATATACAGTTTGCATTGCGAAACGTAACATTTTCTATAAGCATACAAGTTCAAAACATAAAAATTCCAAAAGTGTCCAACAATTTTGGTACCTGTATATAATTTCAAGACAGATTTATATACTTCAAATTTTAACACTATATATTCAGATTTTAAGACAAAATTAGAATGGAGCTGAAATTCAGAGTAAATTTGTAATTTATATCTGAAGATTTTCAATTTTATATTTATACTAATAATTAAATAAAATGTTATTTTCAATATATAAAATCATTATAATTTATTTATTTTTCCAGTTTAAAAATACTACTTTAATTTTTTCTGTTTAAATTCAGAAATGGCAGTTTTTTTATTATATTTTCAATTTTCTTGTTTTAGAAGTTTTGGTGCTGCTGCTGCTGAACTTTGAGAGTGGCTTTAATTTTAACTAATGTAGTGTATATCACATAAATTTATTTGCTTCATGCTTAATAACATTGTAATTAAACTTGAAGAACTTGGCATGTAGGGAAAAATATTTGTGACTGAAAATTAAAGAAATAAAACTTTTGGTTTCTGTACCAGTATGTAAATTTGTCATTTCTATAAATGTGCTGTAGATGCAAGATTATGAAAAATTATAACTGCAAATGTCATGACTATGTTAATTATAATGTTACAGTTATTAATTGTATGTAACAAAAATTAACATGGATAGAACACAAGGGAGTCATTGATAAGAATTATTTAGACATGTATATTAGCTAGATATTTGATTTATTTGCAATATGTATGCATATCTACAGGGTTGCAGTCTGCCCTGGTGAAAAAATCATAAACAGTATTGAAATAGCTTGTGATTTAATTTTAATTTTAATTAGTTTTAATGTTTAATTAGTGATTCATTTATTATGTTGTTGTTTTTTAATCAACATTATATTTTAAATGTATTCTAAATAATTTCAATTATAATTTAGTATAAAATGTATATTTACATATATATGCATAGAATGAATGTTATGCAAACTCAAATGAACAAAATGAATTATTTTTTTAAAATTCATATATCTACACAACATTTCTTTTCCATTTTGAGTTACCACAATACATTAATAATTATGTTTTTGCAATATCAAAGATTATGCCAGAATGGAAAAATAAGGTTATTGGAAGAAACACCAAAAGTTTTCTGTCTCTGAAGTTATTGAATTTTCTGTTGTGACTAATTTTTTATTGATATTCCTTTTTTTCTTATATTGTAAAGAAAGGATGCCATTGTAAGAGTGGGATGTATTTCTCCCAGACTTTTCCTTTGAATTCTAAAATCAGTGCTTTAGTGTATATATGCATAAATTATTGTTGTCTGACTTTCTGAAAATAAGAATGGGCTTTTTAAAAATATTTATGTATTAATTTTGATATCAAGAAAAGTGTATATATATATATATATAATTTATTTCCTAAACAATATTGATTAATTGATTATATTATCTCCTAAGTTTAATTAAAGTAGAATTATTTTAAGAGTGAATCCATACTAGTAAGTTATATTTTGAAAGATGTTTTGAAGTAACTTGAAATTAATGTTAATAACGTTTTAACGGCGACTGGAATTAAATCATCATGAAGAACAAAATTTCAATTGTAAAAGGAGAAATTAAATTAAAAGCATGTAATCATTGTCATTGATTGGAAATCAGTTGAATTTTCAAGGGGAACAAACCAACTCCCGTTCAGTGAACAATAATTAATAAATAAATACGTAAATACGAAGGTGTTTCGTCTTTACTCGAGCAATCAGGTTAAGCCAAACCAGCAATTCTAGTCAAGCCAAATATTTCCGCGAATAGAAGGGATTATGAACCAATGTTGATACTCAAAGAAGTTATTCCTATGAAGCATTTAAGCCAATTCATTTTTGAGTGAAAAGCAATTTCTGTAGAGAAATCCAAAAAAACTCGAGTAACCCTCCCCAACACCCCGTGTTTATGCATTTGAGTTCAATATTATTTGTAAAAATTAAACATTGCAGCTATTGCGCAAGTAGTAGTAACTTGTTTTCGCACTAAATGAATTCATAATTTTTAAGTAATATTAAAAAAAAAAATATTAAATAGTAAAAGGAAAATTGGCATTTAAAATTTGTATATGTGTCTGTGTCTATTATGAATAACAACTAATCTTTCCCATTATTAGGAAATCAGTTGTGTGTTTATCTGTGTCCTTTAGTGGTAAGCAAATTTTATCAGGGTCTGATGATAAAACATGCAAAGTGTGGGACATAGAAACATTGACTTGCCTCAGGACCTTACACCATGAAGGTAATGTACAAGTGTGATTTTATTTGCTTGATGTACATTTGTTAAATATCATATGACATGCTCCTTAGATTACCAAGAATAAAAAATGTGTTAAATGTTTGTGACATGAAACCTGGATCAAATGAAATCTCTTTGTATCTTGTGGAGCTTAATGCTGTCATAGCTTGGGTATCAATGAGCAAGCAAGTTCACATTTGTTCTCTTTATATATATGGCTTGTACTACAAATTATTTTATAATAAGGCTGATATCATTTATAATCCATTGGGATGGATCATTGAATACCATTTCATTTTTTAACAGAAGAATGTTAAGCAGTCAACACTGATAGAAAATGCAGGTGCTTTAGATGGTAGATGTGTGTCAAAGATAACAGTGATTATTTGTGCTGGAAATTTTGGGGAATGATGTGAGGAAACAAAAGCTCAGTTTGGACATGCTTTTTTGTGAAAAAATTATGAGCAGTGTGTTCCACCACTGCAAAATATATTTATAAAAATTCTTCACATATCTTAGCAACATATTTAATTTATATACAGTCAACCAATTTCTCTCCTGTCAAATTCTTTTGCTGTGGTATTGGGTTTTGCCAAACTTCAGATGGCAATATTTTTAAATGTGAAATATAGACATGTTGAATTTCTTATTTATTTTCTTCTAAAATAAGAAATCTGGAATTGCAATTGTTGCGATAAATGAAGCTTCATTCAAAAATGATGTAAGAATATCTGAGGACTGCTACTGGAGCTCACATTTTCTAGCAGAGGAATTTATTATTTACACTGCGCAAAAAAAAAAAAGGGGAGGGACAATCAAATATATCCCGTTCTACAAGGCCGACTGTCAAAATTCAGATTGTGTTTTTCATGTCTCGAAAGGGTGATTTAGGATATACATTAGATATATATATATTGCACTGTTCTGGCATAGGCATTTTGACACAAAGTTGGACTTTTTCTGAAATAGAATACCAATTTTTTTTCCATATTTCGATTCTATGACTCAAACTATGCCCAGATATTAAATTTTGTAAAATTTGGTGCGAAATTTACAGAGAGATTCAAAAATTTATCTCGGTGAAATTTTTTTCAGTTTGGCCATGAATAATTCACTTGGCGAACTTCTTAATATATGGCAACAAATTTTCTCCTTTCCCTTCCATTATGCCAGAGTGAAAAAAAGGCACCTCTTTCCTACCTTTTTACATTGTGCATGAGTGGAAAAAAGTCACATCGTTTCTACTTCCAAATACTTTTACCCACATCCGATGTTTTATCGCTTTCAACAAATATGCCAAATTTCAAAATGCGCTAATATATACATTCACGCATAACTTCAGAAATTTTGAATAAAAAATTGTAATTTTTTGAAGGTATGCTTCGAAATATGTCAACTTTAAGATGATTGTAAAAATTTTACAGCTTTTAATTCAAATTTTTTTGAAAAATTAATAACAATTATTTAAAAATACAAATTTAAAAATAAATCAGAAAAAATGGGTGAATTTTATTTGGAATGAACCTGAATTTCGAAATGTGAAAGGAAGGATAAAATAAGCTTAAGAAAAAAAAAGAGAGATTAATCAATATATACCAAACTCAATTAACACCGAGGAGCTAAAATTTGAGAGCTAATTTTTTAAAAAACTGCACGTGCTTTTTTTTCAAAACTTGGTAGTTTGGCGTTATTTGAGAAATATAATTGAAATATAGAAAAAAAAAATTGGTATGTTATTTCAGAAAAAGTCCGATTTTGTGTAAAAATACCGATATTAGAACTATGCTATATGTAAATCTAATATATATCCTAAGTCTTGCTTTCAAGACATGAAAAACGGAAGTTGAATTTTGTCAATCGGCCCAGTAGAATCGAAGTTATAGAACTGTCCCTTTTTTTTTTTTTTTTTCCTGTGCAGTGTACTTTGAGACATTCATATCGTTGTTATGAAAAAAATTAAAGAATCAGAAGCTGTGTTTACTATCAGTCTCACAAGTGCTGACTGATCAGCATAAGAATAAGTATCTAGGTTGAAGTTTGAAATGCTTGCTGTATTATGAAATGAAAGACTGTGAATGATGCATATCTGCTATACATAGTGACAGATGAGAAAACATTGTGTTATCACATTTAACTTTCAAGCAAAACAGTAAGTATGGAATGGAAACATTGCATTTCATAAGAACCCAAAGTATTGAAAATCAAAAGCTACTGCCAATTAAGTTATTTTGATTGCATGATACTAATTCTGATTATATATTACCAAAGGCCTCGTATTCATGTATTTTAAAAATCCTGTTGCTTGTAAGGACACATTGGATAGCTGCATAAAGTCGAAAGGGAACTAACAAATTTGCTTTTGCATGATATAGTTTCTGTTAGGTGATGTTGATTGCATTTTTTGCATACAAAGGGCTTCGTTGTAATGAAAAATGCATTTATTTTTTCTCTTCAAATTCTTTATATGATGTAATTTATGGTGAAATAGAAAATCAGATCGAAGATGAAGATTTGGTAATAGCGGCTGCAACTGATAAAGTAGTGGAAGAACTTTCAGAGGAAAACAAAAATAAGTTTGAGTATGTGAGTACATACTGCATAAATTTCCAATCAATGATGAAGTGATTTTGTGTATCTTTTTCTGATACATATTTTTTGAATAGATTTCAAGTTTTACATCATTTAGTCATGAAAGATGATTATATTGATGTTGCAACTGATAAAAATTGCAGTCACAATTTTGCAGCTTACAATTAGAAAACTTAGATAAAATTTTAAAACTTGATAGGATTGGTACCCATTGGAGTTTAATTGGAAAACTGAAAGGTGCTGATGAAATTTTAAAGTATAATGAACTGTCTAGAATAATGTTGGCCATCTTGAGATTCTCCATAGTAATGGAGAATGTGAGAGGATTTTCAGTTCGTTGTGGAAACAGAGACCAAATTTAGATCTAATAATAGTAATGACATATTAGAAACCTTTTATTAGCAAAAGCAGGCCTATGTGGAAATTGCTTTGAACAAATTTCTGAAGTTTCTTTCTTAACGAAAGCAAAATCAGATTTTGTTCATAGCGTTTGTACAAAATCTTATTAATGCATTATTTTTTGTTAAAAGATGCAAATAATAATTTTTTAAAAAATGTAATTAGTTTTGTACTGTTTGCATTTAAGACTTTCAGATAAATCACTCAGGTAACTTTCATATATTAATTAGTAACTATTGTTGCGTTTTTTTTTCCTTCTGACACCAGTTGTTATGTTATTTTCTTGCTTTACGTTCATACGGGGTTCGTGTGGATTTAGAGTGAATAATGATGACACTTTGATGAACTATCGAAACACACTTTATTTCACCAATATTAATCAGGACAGCTCCAAAGTTTCGTTTACAGTCGTCGAACTGTTATAAACATGCTGACACGATCAACGACGCAGCTTTCAGGTTATCAGGCTATCACGGTGAAGACAGCTTCACTGCAAAGCACCAGGGTACAGCTCCCGACTCTGCTTAGTCGTTCTTGGAACTTCACATATTCTCGAGACTCTCCACGCTACCACACTCTGACGAGACACACTCTCTATCAGCTCGCTAGGCGAGACACTCACTAACTGACTGCGGACCAGCAGGGTTTATATAGCTTTTTGGCTTGTGTTCGAGAACATTCTGGGCTAAACCGGTAAGAATTCGTTCCAGAAGGTTCTCCATCCGTCCATGGTATATCGCCGATTTTGTTGCCAAATGGGCGATTTCTCGCCAAATGTGCCAACCCTGCTTTCCCTTGACATTTTATGGCAAACTTAAAACTGATTTGCGGGGAAGCCATCTTACCACGCCTGTACATTTTGTAACACTATTAAATTTAATTCGTTATTAAGAAATATACTTTAATCATTTAAAAAATATTTTTGTTGTTGAGAAAATTCTGATTTTTGAGAGTCGTAGGTTGGCAAGTATTTTAATGGCTGATTTTTGAGTGTCATAGATTGACAAGTATTTTTTAATTTTTTTCAATTGGTCGGCTATTCATGTATTTAATAACTTTTTCATTTCATGAGTCATCCTTTAGTAATAACCATTGATAGCATAGATGCTCAGATCCTTTTACATTATTGAAAATTTCTTCTTTATCTTTCAAAATCATTGAGACTGTGGAATGAACTAGGTTTAAATCATGTGTAATTACAAACTTTTTCACCCACTTTCATGTTATTTAATTTCTTTTATTTTTATGTCTAAATTAATCTTTTTTCTTATTTAGCTTGTTGATTGCTAGGTGATGATGATTTTGTTTTTTGAAGCCATTTTATATATTAATTAATCATAATAGGTATGAAGGAAATAATTTGCTGTGAAAACTAATTGGTGAGGTGAGGTAACAGCTGTGAGCAATGTACGGTGTTGCTAAATTTCATAAAATGCCATTTAACAACACTTATCTAATCTCTCTCTCTCTCTGAATCTCTGACACAAATCTCTGACACAAGTGTCAGAGTGTCAGAGATTCTGACAAAAATCTCTGACTCTGACACTTCATTTAAATTTGCGTAAAAATTATTGGTAGAATGTGCTCTTACAAAAATGGTCAAAAAGTTGATTGGGTGCTTGTAAAAGTTTGTAAATCAATGACCACCTGTTGTCTGTTATCATTGCTTTCGCATATTATATTATTTTTTTTCACAATTATATTATATTATTTTTTTCACAATGTACATATTATGAATTATGTATACACTTATATGTATTATTGAACATTAATTTATTTATGATGTATTTATTTATATTTCAGTAATTCATATATTTTGAACAGTCTATATTCATTACTTATCTATTTATTCCTGTACCACAATTATTTTGAATGTTTGAATATATGCTGCATTTCTTATGTAACTGAAGTTAGATGTAATGAATGTTAAATTCTTGTAAAACAATTTCATTTATTTAGTTTAAATGTTTCTCCGTATATTGTATTATTTAGTCTCTAAATACTTGTCATTTTTAAATTTTAGCATGGGAAGAATGTGATTTTAATTTAATTTTTTAAAGATAAAGGATTGTTAGGTACCAAAAATGTGAAATTGAGTGCTGAAGATTTAAATTCACATGTTAGATAAACTTATTTGGTTCTATCAGAGCATTCACAGACACACCTGCATACTAACAGTCATCTGGAACCTAAATAATTCAAACGGTAATATTTTAAATAGTTAACAATAGTACATTTGAAAACTGCATCATACAATAAATCACAAATATCTTTTTTTTTCAAGTATTATAATTTTTGCCCAGATTTTTATGGATGCTGTTACTAATGCAGCAATAGCAAAAATAAAAATTGCTGATGTATTATGTCGGATAAATGAATGAAAAATTTATTCTTTTAAAATTTTTCTTTTATAAGTTGTAGAGTCATTAGGTTATTTTGAAGCATGGGACATGAAAAATGAGCAGTGCCCTTGCTGGACTTAACCTGAACCTCTTGAATACATGCCGAGTAAGCTAATCGTTACACCACGAAAGCATTTTGGTAAGAGGGAGAAAATACCTTATATCTTTTTCAAGGGCAACTGGGGATTAGGGATCTCAGTCACCAAATCCTGATGGTGAAGAATCATCATCCACCACCTTTTTAGTTCGGTGCCACTTTATAGTCATTAGGTTATTTTGAAACATGAGACATGAAAAATGAGCAGTGCCTCGCCCTGACTCGCACATGAACCTCTCGAATATGCGTTGAGTGTGCTAACCATTACACCATGAAAGCATGCTGGAAGGAGGGAGAAAATAAATACCTTATAAACTGCAAAAAATATTGAAATTCTACAGAAAATTCTTTACTGTAATCTTAACTTTTTATGCTTTTATTATATTTGTTATAAATGGTATTTCTATTTTTAGGTCCAGTAACTAATGCATTTTTTGCATTAAAACCACACTGTCTCACCGCAGAAAATGTATCACCAGATTTTCCTATTAAAGAATTCAGTCGTGTTTTGTTCAGCGAAGATGATCTAGATGAGATGCAAACCATGTATATGTCCTCAAAACAATTACCAGTGCATCTTTCACTTGTAAGTTTTATTTTGAAGCAGTTTGTTAATATCACCAGTAAGATAATCCATAGTATGAAAGATGTACTACTGGAGCACCTCTGTACTTAGCAGAGTGTTTTCTGTTATTATTTTTACTTTTTCAAGAAGAGGTTTTTGATTCTTTTCCCATATAATGAACATTGGAAAATGGGCAAAAATGAAGTGTTTATAAAATCATAAGCTAAAAAATGCAACGTTATAGAATTTGTCCCTAGTTGCTCTGCATCTCTTTTTTTAAAAAATCTAATCATGTACTGTATTATTTTAATGACTGCTACATTCCCCCCTTTTTTTGTGTGTGGAGAATAGAGGGCAACATCTTAGGGGTCCACAGTTCTTTGAAGGATTCATTTCTGGTTAGTTTTTTCTGAATGACATATTAGTCAAGCATTTTGATACTTCTAAGTACAGTTTAGTGAACAAGCATACGGTTAATTGTAGATGTGATCAACATTGCTACTTACAGAGGTCCCTGCCAAAATTATATTACTGTAACTGCTTGTTTCAAGAATGCTGGATTATGGCTGTATCTGTGCCTTCTCTCTGGATCTTAGTAATAAATTATAGCGATTTTAAAAACAAGTTTTCTTATCTTTAAGCAGTATGACTTTTATTACTGTCCACTTTAGGTAGTGTAATATCCAGTGCAGCTTGCTTGGTTTCATTAACTGTAATGTTTATATACATGTAAGATATCAAATATGTAAACTGAAATTCTAACTTTACTTAGCAATAGTCCTATAATTTCTCATTTTAGTTTGTGTATGTCCCCTTTCTGTTTTGAAAGTAGTAATAATTTATAATAACTTTCTGGACTGTGTTGTTTCAAAATTAATCTGCTTCATGCCACCTTATGTAATGCATAGCATTGCGGATATTGTTTCACCAATCAGATTAAAGAAACTTCTGATTATGTGTTTTAGTGCTTTGCTTGAATGTGTACTTACTCTTTCCTTGTTTTGTTTATGAAGATTGAGTGCAAATTGCGCACATGATGATATGTAAACTTGAATTTGCATAATTAAGACACAATAACACGCCGAATAAATACTAATTCAGAAGTCAAACAACAAAAATCAGCGTTAATTTACAAAATTTTCACAGGACTGGTTTCGATGGTTTTACCGAACCATCATCTTCAGCTGCAAAAACCGCAAATGAAACAAGATAGGAAATAATGTTTAGATAAGATAAGAAGCCTGGGAAGAATAAGCAAGTGGCGCCATCTGTTGGCGAAACCAGAACTAAAACATATTTCTCTAAAAGCCGAAGGGCAAATTTGGATGGAATTAGGATCGTTAACTAGAACAGAAAGATTTTTATGAATGTGAAATGCCTCTAGAAAATCCAGTTCTCCAATGGAAAATGCTTTTGAATAATTTTGGCAGCAGAAAAAATGAAAGTGTGATTTTCGGACCAACAATGTTGAGCAACAGAAGACTTCTGTGTTTCCTTTTTTCTAACATATGCCTCATGTTCTTTGATGCGAAATTTTAAGGCTCTCTTAGTTTGGCCAATGTAAATTAAAACCGCACTGGCAAGGAATCCCTATAAATACCCCAGGAATTCATATCCGGAATGGGGTCCTTGAGTATAGAAGTTGGAATTTTATGATGGGAGAGTAAAACCATGGACAACCCGAAAGTTAAATTTCTGCAAAATATGTGCAACTTTATAGCTAATTGATGGAAAGAAGGGAATGACAACAGAATTTTTATAATCTCCTAATTTCGCCCCCTCAGTCCCATCCTGGTTGATATCTACATGCATTATTATGAATCAAAATTATTTGAAACTTTAAACTTCCCAGCATGGTTCCGCTACGTAGACGATACTTTTACCCTGTTTGAAGGTAATAAAGATGATTTAAATAGAGTTCTTTCAACAATGAATTCTATTGATCCTGCTATTCAGTTCACTTCTGAACTTGAGACTTGCAATTCTCTTCCGTTTCTCGACATTCTGGTCACACGTAACACATCCAACTTCAGTACTACAGTTTACCGTAAACCTTCATCGGTTTGCCTTCCACCACACTTTAAATCATGTCATCCGACTAAAACAAAAGTTAGCTTCATTTTTAGTCCTATGTTTTCCGTGCTCTTCAAGTTTGCTCCTCCAAACTAGCCCTTGATGAAGAACTAAATTATTTTAAAAGCAATAGCTATTGACAGGGGCTTTTCACCCAACATTATTAATCAAGCAGCAGTTAAAAAATTCTCATCTCAACACGCTAAAAGCCACACTCTTATTTAGGAGATTATAAAAATTCTTGTTGTCATTCCCTCTTTCCATCAATTAGCTATAAAGTTGCACATATTTTGCAGAAATTTAACTTTCGGGTTGTTTACTCTCCCATCAATAAAATTCCAACTTCTATACTCAAGGACCCCATTCCGGATATGAATTCCTGGGGTATTTATAGGATTCCTTGCCAGTGGCGGTTTAATTTACATTGGCCAAAACTAAGAGAGCCTTAAAATTTCGCGTCAAAGAACATGAGGCATATGTTAGAAAAAAGGAAACACAGAAGTCTCTGTTGCTCACATTGTTGGTCCTGAAAATCACACTTTCAATTTTTCTGCTGCCAAAATTATTCAAAAAAACATCTTCCATTGGAGAAACTGGATTTCTAGAGGCATTTCACATTCATAAAAATCTTTCTGTTCTAGTTAAATGATCCTAATTCCAATCCAAATTTGCCTTCGGCTTTTAGAGAAATTATGTTTTAGTTCTGGTTTCGCCAACAGATGGCGCCCACTTGCTTATTCTTGTCCAGGCTTTCTTATCTTATCTAAACATTATTTCCTATCTTGTTCATTGCGGTTTGCAGCTGAAGATGATGGTTCGGTAAAACCATCGAAACTAGTCCTGTGAACATTTTGTAAATTAACGCTGATTTTTGTTGTTTGACTTCTGAATTGAATTTGCATCTCGAATCAAAAAATAATATAAAAAAAATATCAAAAAATAATATTATCTTTGGATGTGTACAGTTTATCATTGTAGTTTTTCGATTTCGCATGGTAGAAGAGCTGATGTTGTTAAACTTGTGCATAGACAAGGAGAAAGTGGACAAAGTACTGGAAAATTTTTCTGTGGAAAGAAAGGACTAAAAAATTTTCAATGCAGAATGCCTGTGTTTTGCCTTTTTACTGCCGTACAACCTGCTGCTGAATGCATCAGATCATGTTGCAGCTTTATTTAGAAAAATATTTCCCGATTGCGAAGTCACTAAGAAATACTCAAGTGCAAGACCAGAATTGTTAAAGAAATGGAAAATAAATCTTCAGTTATTGATTACATTAAAACAGTTTCATTTTTCCTCCTCTATGGATAGAAGCAGTAATACCGATTCAAAACTGTATTCGATTATTGTTTCTTTTTTTAATCCTGTGTCTTCAGAAATTGAGTGTAGTTTACTTCTGTCCCCACTGTAGCGCAGTAATTGGAGACTGGCGTTGCAGGTATCTTAAAAAAAGAAAACTCACATTAGCAAATTAGGAGCCGAAACCTGTCACATCTTAAATTTAGCACCGGAAAAAGGGGCAGCCTCTTTACCAATAAGTATGAATGAACACATTGTTGGTATTTATTATCTTGAAAGGAGTTCCAAAAGAAAGAAAAAATTGAAAGAATTCCAACAGCTGCATAATACTGAAGTAGTATCCCAGTAGATACTGAAGAAAAATTTTGAATTGTGCATCTACATGTACCTTTAAAAAAATGTTTACCTAGAATGCTTGACCAATGGAACCCACATTTTGCATTTTCTAAAGAAGTAAATGCTTCTAGAGATGAGATAAAAGGCTGTATTGAAAGTTAAAATACCTGAAATGAATGAAGATGTAGTTACTATTTCCACTGTTAAAAAAATAGGTTTGAGAAAAATGAAAAAAAAATTCTGCACCAGTGAGCAATTCTCAAAATAATACTACAAAATGTAAGTGTAAAGCTGTTACAAATTTCTCTCAAAATAAAGAAATTGCTCAATAAGGGAAACATTTTCTGATTACTGTAAATTTATCATGTGAAGAACGAAAAGTTATGTTTTTGTCTTCGGATAGGAACAGAGCTTTTTGCTCTTTGTGCAGTTCATTTTGCCATCATTCGATATTCCTAACACAGTTCTACAAAGCAGAATTCTATTAATTCATGTTTTACAATTGATGATTTACAATCTGTTTTATCAAAATTTGTAAAACCACTTTTTTTTTTTTTTTTTTGTCTTCTAATTTTATATATGATGTGATTTATGGTGAAATAGAAAAATCAGACGAAAGATGAAGATTTGGTAATAGGGACTGCAACTAATGAAGTAGCAGAAGAAATTTCAGATGAAGACAAAAATAGATTTATTTTCACATTAGAAGCTCCTGCTGCTGAGTATGTGATTACATACTACTTAAATTTCCAATCAACGATGAAGTGATTTTACACGCTAAAGTTGCAGATGTTTCTGCTTCAGCAAATGCATCTTTTTCTCATATAAGATATTTTTTGAATAGAATTCCAGTTTTATTTCATTTAGTCATGAAAAACAATGATATTGATATTGCAACTGATAGTTATAGTTGCAGTTTTACAGTTTACAATTAGAAAAACTTGGATAAAGTTTTCAAACCAGCTATGATTGACACCCAGTAGAATTTAACTGGAAAATTGAAAGGTGCTGATGGAATCTTAAAGTATAGTGAACTGTCGAGATCATGTGTTCCCAACCTTTTTGTCCCTAAGATCATATTCTAGAATATTTGTTCAACTGCAGGCACCATTTACTTTTTCAAGGTGAATTAATAGTTGGATAGAGTTAATAATACATGCACATGAAAAAGCCCAACTGGTATAGTGGTTAGCGTCGCTGACTGCCATGCCAAATGATGTGGGTTCGCAGCATCCCGCAGAAGGCATGGGTATTTGTAAATGCATAGTATCCGTGTGGCATGGGGCCACTTCTAAGTATGCAGTGAGCCGAAAATCCTCTCAAGAGTTTGGTTGTAGGGGAAGAGGGGGTGCCCCTGGTGCCCTCCATCATCATTGGCCGCAGAACTGAGCTAAATCACACTGTCACCTGTAAGGTGCTCAAGGTTGTTGCCAACGGTAGGTGTAAAATTTTGCTATAAAAATTGTGCTATAAATTATAGGTCAGACAAGTGAGCATTAGCAAGAACATAAAAAAAGAAAGGGGGGACTGATTGCATTTCGTTTTGTATTGATATCTGTATTAGACACAATTTTTATTTCATTAAAAATGAGAAAACTTTCACATAGAAATTTATTGAAAACTAAAACATTTTAAATGTGACTACACAGCAACGGGCACTCATTAAAAGATCTACAGGTACCATGGTGCCCACGGGCATAGGGTTGGGAAGAATAATGTTGGCCATCCTGAGAATTCTTCGTAGTAATGCAGAATGTAAGAAGATTTTCTATTCGTTGTGAAAACAGGGACCAAATTTAGATCTAATAATAGTAATGACACATTAAAAAAAAACTTTTATTTGCAAAAGCGTACCTACGTGGCAACTGCCATGAACAAAATTTTGAAGTTTCTTTCTTAATGAAAGCAAAATCTACTACTGCACATTTGTACAAAAACTGATTAAAGTATCATTTTTTGTTTAAAGATGCAAATAAAAAAAATGTTTTTTGTACATGTAAATACTTTTGTACTGTTGCATTTAAGAATTAGTAAATGAACTTTCAGATATTAATTAGTAACTATTTAAAGTTAATACATTATTAAAAATGTATTTTTATCATTAAAAAATCTTTTTGTTGAGAAAAATGTCCTGATTTTTTAGTGTCATAGGTTGGCAAGTATGCCAATATTTAATCAGTTAAGTATTTGTTTTACATCATTATGTGGTGCATTACCAAGTTTATCCACAGCATAAAAATATGTGTACATTAATTATTAATTTTATTTTAATTGTGTTAAAAGTCTTATAATGAAAGAAAGCTTTCCCTTCGATATTCATCAATTTCTCAGTATAAAAGTATGAGCAAATTACAAAATGAGTTAGCCAAATAACATAATATTAAAATACTTTATTAAATAGTAGCATATTTTATCTGAATCATGTTATGAATAGTTCTATAGCCCGAGTGATGCATTACAGAGCAAATTCAAGTAAATATAGAATTCGTTTGAAATGGTGTCCTCGCATAATGCAAAAATCCTGCTTTTTCGCTTAAGAACCTTCTGGTTTTTCATATTGTAAATTTGGAAGCTATGCATTGTATAGATGCAATAATGTTATTTAGTTATCTATGCTAATTCAATTAAAAAAGTATATATATATATAAAAGTTGGTTTTCTATTGATGCATTGAGCAGAAACATGCGGTGAGAGTGGGGTTGCACATGCTTGAATCTTAATTGCAGTCTGCTTAACAAAATCAGCCACTGAAAAGTCTATTTACTAGTGTTTCCTGTGTATTATATAAATGACTTTTAGCATAATTAAAACTTACCGTAATTTCTGGAAGAAACGCCGCGGCGTTTACGTGTTTAAAACTTAACTTTTCAGCGGGTGCGGCGTTTCTACCCATGCGACGTTAGGTGCCTAAAAATAAATATTTCCATGATGGTCATTGTACATAGTGGATGGCCGTCATGTGCATAGACTGGGCTGTCCCACACAAAGACCACTCAGTTGCTTTTTGCGAACGTTATTTTGTTTAATTCTTTCCTTGAACGGACCTCATGCTTATTCACCCTAAATGAGATCTCAGAACAAAACATTCTTCCCCTTTCAAATCAACTTCTCATCAGTTCGAATAGTCTATCTCCTCTTCCATTCGACGAATCTTCCAGGACCATCCTCTCCCCACCCCTGCCTTTCTGCAATTTTTTTCAAAGGCGGCACGACTCCACCTGCCTCGCAATAACGAACTCTGATATTCCCTTCAGCATGAATGGATTTTTCTTGACTTTGCCAGATACAGATCCCATCTTTGGGTACAAATACTTGTTGGATGTTTTAAGTAAGAAGGGAGCGGAAGATTTTTGAAAATGTCTCTAAACAGCAGCAGAAACTATACTGCTGTTTTAAGCTTTTAAGTTATTTCACGTGCGCCCCCCAAATTGGAAATCAAGCAGCAGCTTGAGAGTTTGAAGTGGACGACAGAGTATTCGACGTTGGAGATGAAAAAAAACCTTAAAAAAAAAATGCCAACAGAAACGAGCAAAGAAGTGGTACTGTAAGGTGGCCCATCTAGAGGACGACCTAGCCAACTGGATAAAGGAGCAACGAGGAAATGGTCAATTTCGACTAAAAAAATTCGCTTACAAGCAAAATTATAGCAAAACGAATGAATAAAGGATTTCAAAAGAGGTGTAACAGATTTATGAAAAAAAAAATATTTCTGTGCGTACTAGAACAACAGTCGGCACAACTCCAATTGGACTGGCAGTATAAAAAGTCACCATCTCTTTATAAAATATGGACAGCTATTATTGACAAAAAAAAAAAAAAAAAAAAAAAAAAACAAAAAAAAAAATCTTCGTCGCAATAATAATAGGATGAACGCGTTAGCTTTCGACTGCTGCAAACAGAACTGTTGATGAAACTGGTGCAAAAACTGTATCTATGTTTATGACGGGGCAGAAGAACTTCATTTACATGTGTTTAGCTTGTGCGCAAACGGGTGACAAGCTAAAGCCGAGATCATTTTTACCGAAAAACTTTCGAGGCGGATGGTCATATATCAGGATAGGTGAGTTTGCATCTATACGCCCACGCGATGTCACGCGCATTTAAATATTGCGGCGTTTACGCTGATGCGGTGTTTCTTCCGGAAATTACGGTAAATTTGTGTCTTTGAGTTATGCTTTTTTTTTGGGGGGGGGGTGCAAAGGAGATAAAGAGCAGCTGTTACATTTTCTGTGATTAATAATTTCTTTTAATCTAAGAATTAAAAATATATGAAAATTTTACTTTTTTGCAGATGCATGCAGGGAGTCCTGATATTTATTTCAGTCCAATAGTTCAACCTGTAAGTTAAAAAATTTATATTTGGTTTTTCAGTGATGTTTGATGTTGTCTTCAGTTAAAATTTAACAGACTTAGACTGATTTTTTTAGTTTTAATGTGCAAAATGTGGTAATTTTAATGGGATGTAACTTAATGTATATCAGCTGCTTTGAAAAATTTGAGAGACATCTCTTTAACTGAGTGTTTGCATGAAAAGAAACTTATAAAAAGAGAATCTGATGTATAATGTGATTTTAGTTGTGTGTATGTATGTGTGTGTGTGTATGTATATCCATGTATGTGTATATATAATTTTTCTGAAAAGGAATTCCAATTGATAACCACCAAGAAATTATTCCTTTTATTCCTGTTAAAAGTTGCTTTTTGGATTTATAAATCAGGCAATTCGGTGTTTTTCCCTTCTATGGTTATTAATTTTTACTGCACCATATTTAATGTTACATTAGAAGTTTTATAATTATTTTTATTATTGTTAATCTGTGTAAAATTCATAGTTAATCTAATGTCATCGCATTGCATGTGTTAGGCTTAACAACAGTCTTTTGCTCCTGGGTATGTCGGATTAATATTTTTTAATTTCAAAACTTTTGTTGCTCTAATGTTTCCTATTGTAAGAACTAACTCTTCTTTTTATTTTTATGTTTGTTTGGATCAAAATTTTTATTTGTTACTATTTTTTGATATGTTGGATTGCATCTATTTATATGTTTTTTTTTGGGGGGGGGTGGACTTGGTTTGCTTGAATAGAAAATAATTTTTATTAGATTTTTAAGCTTTTTTTGCTTGTTTAGGATTTGATGTTATAATTTTTTAAAGCATTTTTTAATCCCAGACTGTATTTTCATGTGTTGTATTGCTTGTATTTACATGTTTTGTTTTTTTGGACTCGGTATGCTCAAAAAGGTTTCTTTGAGCTAGTTAATGAAGATGCTGTAAGGAATTTTTGCGCTACTTACTACAACTTGTAGGTGTTGTTCTGATAAAGACAGATTACTTTTATTTATTTTCTGAGATTATTTCAAGTATTAAACTTCAGTTTGTGACTTGTTGATTCACAAACAGTCTGATGTTTCTTTCTTCTTTTGTTGCATCAACCCCCTGATGATGATGCAGCAAATGAAGTAAATTGCATTTTTAGTTTGGGTGTTTTTTCGCTTTAATACATTACAGTATGCCACTGTGCTTTTTTTTGTTTTGTTTTTGTTGCTGCTTTTTTGCACGTGGTTTGTTCTGAATTGAATATGGGATGGATTTTACTACTTTCCCAGAAAATGGAAAGTTGCTAAAGTCATATTACTACCTAAACCAGGTAAAGTCATCACCAAACCCGAGGGCTTTAGACCAATTACCCTCTTACCAGGTTTAGGAAAAATCTACGAGAGAATTATATTAAGAAGAATGAATCCCTACCTGGTCAAACTGCCACCCGAACAGTTCCGGTTTAGAAAATCACTGTCTACTACCCAGCAACTTGTCCGCCTGAATGAATTCATTAGATCGGCTCTTCATAATCACCACAAGATCGCCTTACTCGTGCTAGACGTGGCGAAAGCCTTCAACCGCGTCTGGCATGAGGGGCTTATTTTCAAATTAATTTGCTTGGATCTTACTTATCTACTCGTTTATCAAGAATCAGAAATTTTTCGTGAATATCGGTGATGGTAAATCCCTGCAGAAGAGAGTATTAATGCAGGTATAACACAGGGGTCTATTTTAGGCCCAATTTTTGTATATATTTTATGTGGTGGACCAACCATGTGTTTTCACGGACTTAAATGGATTCGTAGGATGCTACGCCGACAATACGGCGCTGGCCGTTAAGTCACTTAACGTTGATAATGCAATCAATAAACTACAGATCATTACACCCCAGATAGAACACTGGTGCACAATGTGGAGAATTTCTATCAACACACAGAAGTCACAGCTACTCGTCATACAGAAAAAGGCCAATAAGACTCCTGTCTCTGCCAGACTCAAGCTCTTTAATGTCGAAGAAGGCCAGCTACTTAGGCATTACTCTCAGTAGCAAGTTCACTAGGAGTGATCACATAAATAAAGTACGAGGCAAAGCCCTCTCCACCATGAAAAATCCACTTATAGGAAGATTTTCTAAACCAGATCTTCTAAGGAAAAGGCATATTTACACAGCCATTATAAGGCCTATTATTACCTATGCCTTCTCTGCCTGAGCAGCGGTCACTAATAAAGATCTAAATAAACTTCAGATCATACAAAATGAGTACTTACGGCTTATTACTCAAGCTCACTTTTATGTATCCAACCACACTTTGCATAATGATTTAGCATGTAGAGGGGCTTAAACATCATATGAAGAAAAACTTCTTTACAAAAGCCGAATTGTGCTCCCATTTAAGAGGTTTTAATACATTCGACTATATTATTTTACCTGAGGATGCAAATATTAGACCTTACGTGGCCCACCTCATCTGTGACTCAAATTTTCTGACTTAATTGCAGTTTTGTATTATATGTGTGTATAGTTATGTAAATAGTTTGTATTTTCACATTTATCTTTATCCTTGACTTCTCATTGTATAGTATTGATTTATTCTTAGTAAACAAAAAGTTTGTATACTTATGTTTTATCTTATGTATGTGTTTGATAACAGTCAGATTCCCACACTTTTGTTAAACCTCTCCTGGTTTTCGGTTTCATGCTTGGTTTTCTATAACCTTGTGATGCATTGTCACCCCCTTCTCTTCACCTCAGATCTCCTCTTACTTGTCCGACTGTTGCGTCATGTCCCTATATGGCAGAATGATCACTCAGCTGGCAACATCACACATATTAGCGATAGCCTGGCAATACATGTATTGATTGATTGATTGATGGATGGATTTTAAATGTAGAAATCAATTTTAATCTGTTTTGCTTTATTAACACCATGAGTTGTTTCTTTCAGTACACAATTAAGGTAGGTTTTGAACTACATTTGTATTTATCCATTTTTGTGTGTTTATGGGCAAGATAAAATTCCTCTGTAATTTATAGAAAGAGACTTGCTTTTGAACATTGTGTTGTGAAATATGTAAAAAAATATTAAGTACAAAGTGTCTGAAATGGAACTATCATGCTACGAGAGTACAACCATAATTTACTTCCAGTTCTGTTGCAAAAAGTCAGTTACAGGATGTAACCAAATCATGTGTGCAGCTTTAGGTACTAATGTTGTTTCCTATGAGACTGAAGGTTTGATACTGAAAGTTAAAAAACAAAGACACCAATACACACGAAGCAGAGTTATTTAGCATAATTTTTCTTTGTGTTTTATATGTATTGCATAGTTTGTGTGTTCCATAATATGCGTTCATTTTTTTATGTGCATTATAATTCAACATTATATCTATGCATTACACATTTTACTTAGTTAAATGTCATTTTTACTGTATTTTAAATAGGCAATTAAGTGCTTAATATTGTATTTATCACATACTAGCTTTACCCACGACTTCACTCGCATTGATGTTCTTAAATAAGTTTCAACTCCGCATAAAGTTTCAGTAAATACTGCCCTTCTACAATACCTATAGTCCGCGGATATTTTGTATTCATGCCTGACCAAAGGGTTATTTTTAAAAATAAAGAACATTTGAGCACCTTAAGATGACAAAACGATAGTTGTTATGGCACACAGTAAAATTTAAAAAATATAAAATGTAAAACCAATTTTTCAAGCAACAATAACAGAAATATGTAACACAAATGAATAGACAGGATTCGTAGTGGTCCTTACAAGTGCTTATAAGTCATTATACAGTACAAAGTTCGAAATCCAGACCTCAGAACCACCAATAATGTTTTTCTCGTAGGCTTTACGCATTTAATTCCCCCCTCCGCACTGGACTAACATCTGGAGAGTCCCGATTCTTAATTTCACTTGACACTAAATAAAATACCTTGTTATTGAAGAAACAATCATTTTAGCATAAATTTGTACGATCAGTAATTTGGCTCCGTTGCTGCGTATCTGCTTGGCACACATCTTAAACTGAAACATTCCACATAGATACATCGTTGATCTGACGCCAACCTGGCAAATCATTATTTACTATACTTTCCTTTCACCACCACATTTTTATCAACACATAACTTGAGTAATGACTCATGTAGCGATGCCTAAACAATCTTTTTATATTAGTAATTGAATAATAAAGGAATATGCTTGACTTTTATGTTAGTATGTTAGTTATATCGCCAAGCATAAGTGATTACAAATTTTAGTTAAATGCACTAAAAAATGTTGACGAGGAAAAATTTCACAAAAATTTCTTTATGTTAAAAATAGAGTTTGTTGATGATAGTCATAGATTACATTTAGATCTAGCGCCAGCCCTCAATAAGGCTTAAGTATATGTGGAAATTTCAGAACTCTGATAAGACTTAAGCATGTGCAAGAAGTATAATAAATAAGTAAATTAATACAATTCAGGTTTAATTGTCTCAGTGTGTGATAGAAGCAACCTAAAATTTAACAGAACAACTTGTCATTAGTTGCCAAGCTCATGATGCATAGCCAAATGTGTATACTGAATGATAGCTAAATTTGATGATGATACCTGCAAATTTTAAAGGTTTTCGGATATTGTAAAACAAAGGTGTAATTTTCCAATTAGCGGATTTTGTAAAGAAATGTGGAGAAACAGTAATAAATGAAGATGATGTAAAAGAAGTTTTTCATTGTGATGACAATGCTTTTCAATCATCAATCAACTAATGAATGGCGAAGTCTGTAGTATCTTTCTAGATCCAGAAAATACCGCTACCGATAGTGAAGGAAATGACAGAGAATTTACTGAAAATGAAAGAATTTTGTTTGTCAAGTTAGTCGGAATTTTCGACAGAGCAATTACAATACTGTGGTTATGTCTGTCTAAAAGATTAGATAAAGTATTAGCACAAAAAACGTAGCAACTTAAAAAACTTGCATTGAAAGAATTGTTTAATAAGGTTAAAGAAATAAGTATTAACCTTCTCACTGCATACTTTTTTTTTTATCAAAATAGGTTCAAAAATTGCATATTTTTTAATTACATATTTCAAATCTCCATAGAGTTAAAATATACAAAAAATTTTTGTAAAAGAGTTTTTTTTTTTTTTCAATATAGAATTAGCTCATAGGTAAAGGTTGTCAGAATATTGAAATTGAAGAATAATGATATAGAAGGAAAATTTTGAAAATTAATATTCGTTAAATTATGATTTATTTTATAAAATATCAAGGTAAAACTTATATACTATATATTATATATATTAATTTTTTCAATCAATCAAAACATATATATCAATTTTGCACCACTGTCGAATGTTTTCAATAGAAACTGAATTTTCAGATTCATCACTATCTGCAGAGGAATCCGAGAAATTTTCATCAGTTTCGCTATAACTATCTTCAACATACTTGAAATCAGAGTCAGACTACTATCAGTGTCGGAAATATCGTCAGGAATATACCGTATATACCAGCGTATAAGTCGACCCCCCCACTTCGCCATAAAAAATTCGTAGAAAATAAGAAACCCGCATATAAGTCGACTCCCACTTCCAAAATCGGTTGTTCGGGGGCCAAAAATTCTTTGGTTTAATCGAAACTTACTCTACTTAAAGTATGAAACTCTGTGATTAGTTCGTCACATAATTTAAGTCATGAAATTACTTCAAGTAAGTGACTTATTTGATAAGTCGTCCAATTTGAGTGCGGGAAGAAAACAACTGCATTATATAAAGAAATTTTCGAACTTCTGATTCTTTTAATTTTTTATGGCCCCGCGTGTAAGTTGACCCCCCCCCTTGAAGTCTTTTTTTTGGTTCAAAATATCTCGACTTATACGCGGGTATATACGGTAGGTTATATCACTCGCGAAACTCTTCCTGCCAGAGATCTTTGAGCTCTGAAAAGCATGCGCAAAATGCTACATTACGTATTCTTGTATATTTGGCAGAAATGGGGGCACCTAACGCCATCTGTTAGCCCACATGTGACTAAACAATTAAACATCATAGAAAAGCCGAAAGGAAACCTTGAACTGTATTGTACTGTATTTGAAAATAAAATATGAGTCCTTATAGGTGCTTACTTTTTCTCTAAAGCATTTATTTTGCTGTTGTTAGTGCTTTTTTTTTTTTTTTTTTTTAAATGAAAGTATAATAAATATTTAAAAACGAATTTTTGAAAGTTTTGAATAAAATTCTAAATTGTGCTGCTTTTTTAAAATTATAGATGAGTATTATAGCACAATTTCTATAAAGGAATTTTATTTCAATTAATTTCATAATACATGATAGTGATAAACACTTTTGACTTCTTAAAAATTTTTATACATTTAATTCTAATATTAAAATTGTATTTAACCGTAATAATTAATTTTGCTTGTATTTTATAGTGATTATTTTTTTTAAATTTATTTTTAGTTCTGCATAAGATTTTTTTAATTACTGTTAATTTAATTTATTAGCCCAAAGCGGCGGTAGCCTAGAAAGGCTTTTAGTTTCGAAGTGGCATTTTGCGCTGTTTTACTATAAATGTCCGTGTCTCCTTGCAAATTGTTGTTACTAAATACTATCGCCCTGTATTATATGTAAAGAAATTAAATAATGAAGAATCTGCATGAATACATGTATGTTTCCTCTCACTGTGACAAAAATGACAGTATCTAGAATCATCAAATTTTGAATAATGTAATCCTCCACCCGAAGATGGGCATCTGGACGGCCAAATTTCGAATTTGTTTTAATCTATTTAATATTTTGTAAAACTTTAACGAATTTTTGATTGACAAAATCAACGAGTTCAGAGCGAGCACTCTACAGAAAATAACAGTTTTATCTCCAGTGCGGAAATTCTAAAGATAGCTGTTTTCAAATGTATGTGGTTTACGCGCGAAGAACATGATATTCAATAAATATAGGTAACAAACAAAACTTTAAAAAAGAAAGTTCCTTTTGGGCATAATATAAAATCTGAGTGCTTCTAGTTTTTATTTTATCTTTTTTCTTTCCTTTCATTACACTCAGAAAATTTTATGCTCCGAAATTTATGAATTATTAAAATAACTAATCCACTTTAATGTTAATAATTTAATGATCATATAATGAAATAAATATGATCGTTTTGTAATGTTATTATAGTTTGGAAAATCACTGCCTGAAAATTTTAATTAAATTAAAAATATTAGATCTTGTTTAATTTTACCTTATTTATTTCAAAACATTACGTACTATCAGTCTTATTTAATTTTAGTTTATTTTTTATGCAAAATTAAGTTCATAAATTTTGTGCTTAGAGTTTTACCAATGTAAAGATATTTTTAGAAGAATTACGCGTGAAAAAAATGAGCGAAATGCAGTAAAAAGTGCTTTAATGAGACATATTAAATCCTATTTGGAAACTGTGGCTTTCATAATTTCATCACTATACAACGTATCACATTTAATAATTAAAAAGAGTTATGTGATACAAACGCCATAGGTTTCAGTGTTAAAAGTAAACCAGATCGTCCCTACTCTTTCTTGCGGACATGTCGGTGACGCACGCCCCACCCAATGGTTAGTCTATCTCTTATAAGGTCCATGGTGGTTTCTTCCTTGTGCTACAAAATGTATATTCAGAAAATATTTTTTATTTAAATACAACTTTATGCGATTTCTATTTTTAATTATAGCAAAGTATATTTATATTAAATTTAAACCACAGGAAATAATTTATAAAATCACAATACTAGCTTGGGGAGCAACTATGTTGAGGTCTTATAAAAGTCTCTGGAAAAGAAAGACCTTTTTAATGGACAGGTGCATGTATTGTTTAATAATAAAATATCTCTGTGGTTTCAAAGGTAGAACCCTTATCCAGGTAGAAATAAACATTCCTATTTGAAAAGCTAGCAAACACATTGTGAAGAGCAGTGGTTTCAAGGCACGACCATCAAGCCTCTAGAGGATTGTGAGCGGCTCAGTGGTCGCGCCCTGAAACCACAAAACGAATACCATACATTAGAGGGTTTTTTTATATATGCAGTTTAATTATTGCAATTTTTTTATTGTTTATGATAGAAATCATGATGTGCGATGAATAAATTTTGAAATTTAAAGTTATGTATATTAGTAAAAGCAAGTTATTTTGTCTCATTAAAAACAAATTTTAAAAGGCATCCAATTTGAAGTACTAAGACCTAAAACATGTATGATTTTGCAGTCATTTTGTGTTATTTAGAGGTAAAAGATCAGTAATCAATTGATTTTCACTCAAAAATTTTGGAAAAAAAAATTCGAAAATTGGGAATGCTGCAGCACGCAATGAACTGGAAGTTGATCTGTCAGCACTATTCTTATCTTCAGGGCAGATGTTTTTATTTTATTCGGCTTATAATTCTTTACTAAATGTAGTATTTCATCTCGATGTACTCCGTCTTTGATATGCCTTAAATCAAATTCCTCGTCATTATAAATATCACAAATACACATCAAATAGTTTTCTGGTTTAAATTTTCTAATTTCGACTATGCGTAATGTATGCTTCACGAATGTGCGTGTTGAAAGAAATGTTTAATAAAGTAAACAAATAAATATTAAGTTTTTTTTTTTTTTTTTTTGTAAATTTTGATATCTTTAGGTCATAATTTCAATTTATTTCATAAATTACGGTTTCATATTTTTAATTTTATAATTTCTGTATGCCATCTTACCAGATTTAAATTGATGATCTATAATCCGGAAAAACCAATAATCCAGAATCGCCGAAGTCCCAACGAGGCTGTATTAAAGACTTTTGACTGTATAAATAAATATTTATTAGACACAAATTGTTGTGTTTTTTGTAAAATTTTTTGAGTATGCAGATTCTGTTAGTATGCAGCTTTTTAATTACTAATAATCTTTTTTCTCTTCTTAGGACACAGAAAGACATGTAGATGAGAAAATAAATGGAATTAAAGATGCATATAAAGAAATGAAAGTAATAAATGCCCAAATGTATTCACATATGCTTAATAGCGTATACAAAGATTTAGAAGTGTGTACTTCCGATTCTGATTAAATTTTAATGATTTGTATAAAATTTATAAATGTTTTATTTTTATAACTTTATAATTTTCACATTTTAATGAAAGATGTGAATATTTCATCATGTTCATCATTTTATTGATTTTGATATGAATAATGATTTTAATTCAAAGAAAGTGTGTATATAATGCTGTTCCAGAATACAGTATTAGGCTTTTGAAAAATTTGTTCTTGTTTACGTATTTTTTGGGCATTTATACTATTCTTATCACAGTGTTAATCTGGTCATTTTTAAACAGAATCGGGGGGGGGGGGATTAAAAAAAAAGGTAATAAAATTGCATTATAGTCAGAAAACTTCATATATCTGTGTACAGTTTACTATCATTTGCTACAATTATGCATTTTATCCCGTTTAAAAAAGTTCAGAATTTTGTAATTCAATATATACTTTCTTGTATTTCATATATTTTGTGGGCATGTAGTGATGGTATTTTTAAATTTGTTTTTGTGTGATGAGAATATTATTATTTGAATACAATAGCACAAAGACCTTACCCTGACTTTTCCAAAGTATGAATATTTTAAAATTGAAAGTTGCAGTGCACAGTATTTATTACTTGTTTTTACATATTAAATGCTCCATATGTATACTGCAGTTTTACTTTGTGATATTTGAAGGAAAAAAAAAAAAAAAAAAAAAAAATTCTGTGTTATGTAAAAATAATTCTTTTCATCTTTTTGAAAGATTGGTAATAAAAAAAATTGTATTGACTTAAGCATTGTTTTAGTTATTTTATTTAAAAATTTCAATTCAAAGCGTAGGTGCTATGAAATCAATTAAAACACATACAAAGAAAGTAAATCTATTATTAAGTGTATAGAATACATAGTGTTGTTTATATATAGTTATAAATATCTTTATCGATTAAAATGAGAAAAAATATTCTGAAGATGATTGAAATATCTTTTAATTACAGATCCAGCCCTTTAAATATATTAAATTTTGTTTCTCTCCATGTATGTCATGAAAAATTCAACTTTGGTATACTTCTGTTTTGCTATACTTATGCTTCTTCAAAGGCTAATTTCTTTAAATTTGAAGTCTTTTTTTTTTCATACCTTTTTGAGAAATTTAAAGGTATAAATTTTTTTTAAAGCATTTGTTGGTACTCTTGGCTCTATTTTTGAATGCTTTATTCAACGAGCTGATTTTTTTTTAATACATCAGAAAGCATTTATGCACTTATTTCAGCAAAAATTTACTTCCTTTTATTCTTCTTGGGGGTGGGGAGGGGGGTACTCAGATACAGATATCTTACAATAGTATAGCAAATGTGAAAGATCTGTTTCTGGATTGAATTAATTTTCTCAAAGATATTTCACATGTTATACTCCGACTTACGCTGCTTTAACCTCTCAACTTATATTTCCTAGCTTGTATTATCAGAAAAAGCTCTTTTGCACAGTTTGAATGCATGAATAATTTTTGTGCTCGTTTGAGGAATGGTACCTCATGCTTGATCTTCTGCAGTTTTGACACTAATATGTTTTTAAGGAAACAAAAATTTTACTCCAAGCCAAGGAGAACCATGAATGTTTAAAAATTTAAATGAAGGGCCAAATTTGAACAGAGTTACATTAAAATTTTTTCAAGATATTCATTCAAGCAAGTATCAAGTAAAATAACAAGAAAGGCATAAAAAAATATACTTATGAAAAACTTTCGAGAGTAGAAAAGAAATTTTATTGGTCCAGTTTCAGTTCAGGAATGGTAAATTAATATAGCTTTGAAGTATTACTCTAGTTTCATATCAATTTGAGATAAAAACCAAATGGCAAAATTATTATTTACAAAATATTTGGCATAGCATTTTGAAATTGGTAGTTGGAGAAAAATTTATTTTGAGGTATTGCTTATTGAAACTGTCCCAGAAGTTGACACAAAGTGTATCTGTTAATCCACTAATACAATGGTTACAATCTCACATCCAGGCATTAGAGACCTGGCTGATATTGTGGAAAATACAATTTAATGTTGATAGGACTAGGCATATTATTCACCAAGAGAAAGAATATCACTGGCAACCTGCAATTTTATGGATCAACTCTTGCCATGGGCTAGGCAAGTGTCTTATCTTGGGGTGATCCTCACTAAAATATTTACACATAACATCTATTATCCACAGGTTTCATGCATGCTAAGCTCAACTCTTCCCCCTAATTGCACGGAACAACATTTTTATCTATTGGTAAATGCTTGCCCAGTCTGTGCTTATTCATGTAAGGCCACCAGAACAAAACTTTTTGCTTTTCAGTATGCTCCATTTTGCCACCATTCGTTGTTCTTAACACAATTCTGCAGTGCAGAATTACATTAATTCATGTTTTGCAATCAATGATTAGTGATCTGGTTAAAAATTACTTAATGATTAGGGAAAATGATTTGAGTATTTTTCTGTTATCAGAAGCTAAGAGTAATAACATTTTTTTAACATATCATGCAAGTGTTTTCACATTATTTGCATTTAAGGAATAACAACTGAACTTTCAAATCTTAATTAGTTACTAGTTAATGTTATTTCACTATTAAAAAACTATATTTTCTTTCTCTATATTTTTGTTATTTAAAATATGTGGAATTTAAAAATCTTTTTGTGGCTGAGAAAATTCTCCTGATTTCTTAAAAAAAGTCTGATATTTGGAGTGTCATAGGTCGGCAAGTATGCATGTTTTATTAAGTCTTGTCATTCCTGGTTCATTAGAAAAACATTGGGAATATTTATTTAATATTTTATGTAGCTGATCTCTTTATGGAGGCACTAATAGTTCGTCCAAATTACTACTTTTAATATCTTTTAATAATCGTAAACATTGGGATTGGTATCAGTATAAGGAAAATCTATTTCAGTATCAATCTGGTCAGAACCATTTTTGCTACAAGGCAAATAATTGATTGCCTCAGGTCTCTTATAATATGGCTTCAACATATTGATATGGTAAATTTGGGTTTTTCTATCTTTCAGGGTAAAGACACAATGCAATATGTGTAGGATATTTTAGTTTCAATTTTCCCGTCTTGCCTAATGAACGGAAAGTTTGTTTGCTGTAGAAGTGGTCAAAATTAACACCGTATAACCTTCCTTAAACTCTTATTTTATGGCATTTTTATCAAACCATTTTTTCTTTGACAGTTGTTGATCTTGTATTTTCTCAACTGACAGCTGTTGGCATTTCTTCAAGCGATTTATGAGTTTAGAAACATACTTGGTTACCTGTTCTTCTTCCTCTGGTGTATCCATCCAATGTTCGTATAACAATGTCTCTAGAGTACGTAAATTTTTCCCATGGACTAGTGTGAAACCCTTACTTTCTTGCATTACTTTGCTTAGAAGGCCAGATGGTAATACCTGTTCCCAATTAGAACCAGCCTCCATACATTATTCGTAGTATTCTTTTTATGATACGATGACATCTCTCCACTGGATTAGACTGGGGGTGGTGTACCAAACTATGACTAACTTTATATCGAATCATTCAAAAAATTTGGTTTTCAAAGTGGTCATGAATGAAGTCCCTTGATTGCATTGAATTTCTTTACGGAAACTCATTCTGCTGAAAAGATTTAACAATGCATCCACTGTAGTAACAGAAGTGATGAGTAGCTTCCGGATAATTTGGGAGACAAGCAAAGCGCGGTTTGTGGTGGGCTGAGGTCTACATGTATCTATGTATTTTTTTGAATATACTTTGATATCACAGGGACTTATTTGAGACGTGCTTTTTCTCTGTCGTTAGAATACCCCGCTCTTTCACAAGGATCTCAAATTCAAATATACACTTCCATTTCTTGGTAACATTTGGGGGAGGGGAAAAATTCATAAGATGATCTTTTGAATTTATTGCTTCCAGATGTCCCAAGACCTGCTCATTGCATAGACTTAATATTTTTGTCCAACAAGTTTTGGGGACGACGAATAATTTCCGCACATTCCCCAAAACGGTCTTCTACGCATTTATATATCAGCTACATTTCTATTTTGTGGACATTTCTCGGAAAGCTATTTAAGCGTCTAATGCTGTTAGGTCAAAAAGTGGTTTTAAGTCTTCATTTTTTCTTTGCAAGTTAGATAACTGAGTTTTGTCTGTTGAAAGAAGGGGTAGTTCATTCACCTCTGCGCTGGGCAGAGCAATTTTGTGTCCCTCGGTTCTTTTGTTTGGGACGAAGGTTTGCTTTCTTCTGTAGCAAGGTGCGAAATTTTTTCTGCGGCCATAAATTTGCCACTTCTTTCCTGTCATTTTTTTGTGTTGTCAGTTTTGGATGGATCGAGTCTCCACCACATATCTGAGGAATATCTGAGCTCGAATCTCCACCGCATTCACTTGAAAGAAAGGTCCTTTGGTTTGATTTTTTTCTAATTTAGCAGGTAACATCCTTGGTTAAGCTCGTTTCGAATGACCCTTGCCTTTTGTTCCAACTAAAATTCCCTAAAGGGGTAAACTGATGTTGGCTTTTCCTACGGCAGGGGAAAATACAGGTTAGAACAACAGTGTAGTGTCTTCATTTTGAAGTGCTAAATCATTTTGTTGGAAGCAGAAAAGATGAAAAATATGCTACCGTTACACAATGAAGGCATGCTAGGGAAATGGGAGAAATACCTTATATACTCCCCTTTTTAAAGGGTGACTAGGGTTTTAGGGGACCTAGTCACCAAATCCTGGGTGCGGAGAATCATCATCCACAACCCTTTTAGTTCGGGCGCCACTTGTAGTGTCATTAGGTTAATTGGAAGCAGAAAAGATGAAAAATATGCAACCGCCTTCGCCGGGAATCGAACCACGGATTTCTGGAATACTGGCCCAGCATGCTACCGTTACACCACGAAAGCACGCTAGAGAAAAAGGAGAAATACCTTATAATTTGATTTACTGTAGTTGTCTTTTGATTATTTATTGAAAATAATAACAAACGTGATTCAAACAAATATGAAATATCATACGCGGCACAGTGCCAGATCTATACATCTTACCATATCATCGTTCCGTTCTGTTCTAACTGTGTTTTCCTCCCGCCGCGGGAAAAGCCAACATCAGTTTATCCTTTTAGGGAATTTTAGTTGGAACATTCTCCGGCCCGCGACGTAGGCATTTATCATAAATTCAAAACCTTACAATAAAATAGTACATCTTATACTTTTATGAAACTTGTAGCATACAACATAGCCTGAATACATTGTATATAAAGGACATTTTCATCATACTAGCTACTACTATACATTTTATCTTACTAACTACCACAAGCTAAATGCAAATAGAAAGAAAACAATTGTCATCAAACAATAACTTAACATAAGTAACAAATTTCAGTTACTAAAGAAATACGAAATAGATATTTGAAAATTCTGAAAACAATCATTCATATCTTTTTCCAAGTTCCAAATGATATAGCATTTGGATAGACTTTTTTATTACACCTGAAGAAGTTTTCACTGTGATACTTCTTACCTTGTCATCACGGCCTTTATGCAACTCCATCACCTTTCCCAGCTTTCACAGCTGCCGAGGTAGTTTGTCATCCCCTATCAAAACTGCATCATTTATATATTAAAATCAGTGATTACATTAACAGGTTTGAAACAATTTGCACCTTTTAATTGGAGAAGATACTCTCTTTTCCATTGTCTCAAATCATTTAAAATTTTCTCCCGATACAAATATATCTTTTAATTAAAATTCTTTTGTTACTTGCAATATGTTCCTTAACATGACCAGCCTGGTG